TCCAATAATTTCTTTAGTTGGGTGTGGCTTTTGGTGTACCAATCACCGATGAGGACAGTGTACTCATCCTCTGGATCGGCATAAGGCACTGGAATGAGCAGGCGACTGTTCACTCGGAGGCCACCGAAGGCACCGGCTGCCTTATGCATGGCAGTTGCGGGATAGTACATGTAGCTCCCGATCTGGTCTTTCACTTGGAATTGGTAGGTGTAGTTCGTACCAGGGGGAATGGGGCACATGGTTCCAAGGGTTCCATCTTGCCATGAATTTTTCCTCTGTTGGAGACCGTGCCTGCAATAATTAATCTCAATTAATTAAATAAAAACTTATTAATTAATTATAGGATATATGTGAATCGAATTAGCTAGGTACGCACCATGTCACAAGGAATGGCTCGTCAAGGTTGTTGAAGACGTTGAGCACGATGTTGTTGTTGGTGGTGGAGTTGATGTTGGGTCCAGGAAATTGGCCATTTATGAGAATGACTTGCTGGGGAACTCCCAGAGGAGAGAGGGTTCCATAGGTGACATTCCATGTGAAAAAAAGGTAAGGGTTCCCACAATGGACAACCGAAATTGTCCCAACTGAGAGGCATAGCAGCAACATAAGCATCATCCCAGACATCGTTACCTCTCTATCTGTGTCAATCTTTCTCTCTCTCTAGTTCGAATTCTGACAAAATAAGTAAAGTCAATCTATGTATCACTTAATTTGAAGACGATGCTTGTCTTCTTTAATTTGGTGTACCTATTATCTCCGCCACCCTACGCTTATATACATGTCATTGACAATTTCTTGACCATTCAAATCCCCCGCTATTGTCTGCAAGCTTACCCTTCTATCTTGCCCCTTGCATTGCTCCCATCCTCTCTTTTTATTTTCTCCTCCACATCCCTACAGACCCCCTCTCCCTATGACCGTGAACTGCCCTTTTTTCATAATAATTATGAGTCTGGATACTCTCATCCCTGCCTTGAAAATCATTTTCATCCACCAATCCATTGATGGCTCTGACTTAGGGGGATGAAGGGCCCACTATGAATAAATGGGAAGGAAGATTGGAGCAGCCTAATCTGAGCCCCTCTTGCCAAAGAAGTTATAACCTCTTCCCCCTATGGTGGTGGAAAGGGCGTGAGTTTTTAGTTTTATTTGTTTAATTTTTTAACAATAAAATAATTGTTAATTAAAAAACAATTTTCTGATGAAAAATAAATTCTTATGTGTCATGTCTTAAATGGTTGGATAATTTTAATGGTTTAGATATTTTGAAATGCGTATGCTAAATGCAGAGGCTCGGAATCCGATTATATGATGCTAAGTGACAGACATTTGTTTGTTTTGGTCGAATTCATGACAGACTAAATAGTAAATTTACCATGACCCTAGGTCTCTATATAGTAGGGAGTAAATAGTAAATCTACCGTGTGTCTATAGGGCTCTATAAAGCTAAAGAGTAAAGAAAAGATATGAGACTTTGTAATTACATTATATATATATATATTATATGTATATATATGATGAGGAAAATGTAATTAAGAAAGAGATTATAACATATAAATAAAATGGAAGTACAAAAATGTAATGGCATATTTGTTTCTCTTTTTTTTTCTTTTTTTTTATTTGATAGGAAAATGTAATGGCATAATTCTTGAGGGTTGATGCACACATAATGAGGCAATCTTTTATGTTGTGCCAAACCCTTCTTATTCTTTACCATTCTTCTAACTCTTTTTGCTTAAATTGGCTATGAAGAAATACAAAAAATCTTAATAATGATTGATGAGTAGATTTTATATTATATATTTAATACTGTTCTTAGTATATTTTGGAAGAATTTTGATACTTTAAATTGTATTTTCAATATATGACTTTCGACTTCTTCTGAAGCAAATCGTGGTCAAATGGATGAATTTTGGGGTAATTCTAGTTTGAGGACGTTCATAAGTCAGTTGGGTTGACAATATCAAAATATCATATTCAGCCACCAAGCGGTGATTTCCTGGCTTATAAATAAAGGAGCGATGTGCAATGTTGGAATAGTGACGTTTTGGGCTTGAATTGCGTTTTTGGAGCCCAAGATGACGTCGGTTTGTGGCTTTCTGGAGATGTGTTTAGAACGTTTTTATCTTTAAAACAACCTACCTTGGGCCAGATTTGGAGAAGATTTGTGGCTAAAACGTGGCTGGACATTTTCTGTGCAGTTTATCCTAACTCAATTAGGATTTTATATTTTAATATATTTTATTATCAGTCAACTTCCTAGTAGAAATAAGAGACTTGGTTCTTAGGGATTGGGCGGCTAGCTTTTAGGGCGATATTTAAGGTTTTAGTCGGCCCTAGTTTTGAGGACGCTTTCTTGGATGCAATTTTGGGAGACAACGAGTAATTGTTAAGGTTCTTGAAGATTTTCTACCTTAAGGTGTTTTCATTCTTATTCATTCTAATGATAATTTTTTTTATTTTAATTATGAGCATGCGTAACTAATTCAAATTGCTAGGGCGAGGCCATATGCCTTAACATGAATATTTAACTGTATTAATTTTCTTATGAATGGATGCACGCTTAGTTTGAATTATTAATCACTGTGATTAAAACTATCCTTTTATTTTAATGACTGATCACTATTAGGATATGCAGACAAGTAATTTGATGCAATTTCAGTTGGAACATCACCGTGAAATTGAGGAGGGCTTCTTGTGAATAGTAGTTGTAAGTTCACTTAAGGTGAACATCACGCTCTTAAGAGTTGCATGATTTTTCAAAGGGTTTTCACAAAGCTTAATGAGTCTTGCATGTCTATATTTGATTTGAACATCACATACGGATTGCATATGTTAGATATATGTTTTCGCTTGAACATCACAAGGAAAATATGAATTAGGAAAACCTAACCTTCAAAGCATATCTGTGGAAATTTAGAAGTAATTGATAGAATTGCATAGGATTGTGATGGTGATGGCTAAACCCTAGTTTTCTCTAAATTGTTTTTTTTTATAAACATTTTTCTTCTTTACTGTTATTATTTCTCAACTTTCAGATTTCTTTTATTGTTAATTTAACCTTTTCAAAGTCATAATTTTCAAATCTTTGATAAAATCTATTTTAATTATTAATTAAGAGTTAGTGTAATTACAAATTAGTCAAACAATTTTTGGGGACAACGACCTTGCATGAGCATTTATACTACAATTATCTTGTATTCTTCCAAGTATTTTCAATGATTTTAACCCTATTTGCGCAGGTACAAAAAATCCTATCAATGATCTCTCTCTCTCTCTCTCTCTCTCTCTCTCTCTCTCTTTCTCTCTCTCTCTCTCACACACACACACACTCACTCACACGCGTACAGTTTTTTGGATCGTCGCTGTCCCTTTCTACTCTGTATCTGTCACACAGTGTGAAGCGGCACGACATGGCGATGAAATATGTTACATGCTGAATGGTGCGGGCTTGGGCATGTCCTTAACGATGCCACAGACAAGTGCATTGTCTGGCATGTTATACTCGTTTCTGAGGGAGCGTGCAATATTTTCAACGCCCACGTAAAACTGTTGTCCTAGGTAGCGCCTCTCCGGTTGTTCAGACCTTACGTTCCACATTCCGGCGTTGTCGAATGTCAACATGATGGCAGCCCAGGATTTGGGGAACACTTGGACAGTGTACCTGCTCACAGCGTCAAGGAGATTGTAGTTGCTTCTCTTTTCTGGGGTCCACGTGCCGGGCTCCGAGCTGTAGAGGGAGGATGATTAATTTCCTTTAATTAGCTTAATTAGATAGATATGTATAATAAATAGATGAACTTACGCGACGGAAAAAAATGAGTATCCATCCAAATGCCATGTCTGAAGGCTCTTCTCCGGGTTCTCAAAGATGATCTCAACGAAATCTTTTATGGTTATGTTGACAACATTGGGTTCCATGGTGATCTTGTCTGCCGCTGTGGCTGGGGGAGTATCCTTCATGGTATCGAACTTGAAGACTTTGTCGTAAACTTTAAAGTAGTCAGCCAGCTTGAGGGGAGTTTCAGTGTCCACGTGGGAGATTCCGTTGATGGCATAGCGAAGCTTGCCGTCCACCTTGCTAGCGGAGTTGACGAGCTTGATGGTGCGGGAGATGTTAATCTTACCATAGTGGTAGGAGCCCTGAGGGTTAGGCCTGGCAGCACTGGCAGTGAGGTTCCAGCGGAAGGAGCGGAACTGGTTAAGAGACCATGCCCATCCTACGGGGGCCTTGGGGAGTTCAGGCGAAGCAGGGCCCTTTCCATTTTCGTAGCGGATGATGCCTTTGCCGGTGAGCACACTCTTAGTGAATCGGGTGGAAGCCACCATGTAGTAGTCCTTGGGGTCCTTGTCGGCAGTCACGAGCACGGAGAAACATTGCCCGAGATGCACATCCATGGAGTCGTAGGTGTTTTGGACGGTGTGGGAGCCCTCCAATTCAACAAGCTTCATGGAGTGTCCTTGGATCCTGAAGTTGAGGGTGTTCTTGATCCCCACATTGCAGATCCTGTACTTGTAGGTCTTGCCGGGCTTCATGACGAAGAGGGGCTCGTCTTTCCCATCTCCCTTTGAAGATTTGCCGTTGATGAGGACCCCGTCTGGCCTGGCCATGGAACGACCGCTGTCCAATAATTTCTTTAGTTGGGTGTGGCTTTTGGTGTACCAATCACCGATGAGGACAGTGTACTCATCCTCTGGATCGGCATAAGGCACTGGAATGAGCAGGCGACTGTTCACTCGGAGGCCACCGAAGGCACCGGCTGCCTTATGCATGGCAGTTGCGGGATAGTACATGTAGCTCCCGATCTGGTCTTTCACTTGGAATTGGTAGGTGTAGTTCGTACCAGGGGGAATGGGGCACATGGTTCCAAGGGTTCCATCTTGCCATGAATTTTTCCTCTGTTGGAGACCGTGCCTGCAATAATTAATCTCAATTAATTAAATAAAAACTTATTAATTAATTATAGGATATATGTGAATCGAATTAGCTAGGTACGCACCATGTCACAAGGAATGGCTCGTCAAGGTTGTTGAAGACGTTGAGCACGATGTTGTTGTTGGTGGTGGAGTTGATGTTGGGTCCAGGAAATTGGCCATTTATGAGAATGACTTGCTGGGGAACTCCCAGAGGAGAGAGGGTTCCATAGGTGACATTCCATGTGAAAAAAAGGTAAGGGTTCCCACAATGGACAACCGAAATTGTCCCAACTGAGAGGCATAGCAGCAACATAAGCATCATCCCAGACATCGTTACCTCTCTATCTGTGTCAATCTTTCTCTCTCTCTAGTTCGAATTCTGACAAAATAAGTAAAGTCAATCTATGTATCACTTAATTTGAAGACGATGCTTGTCTTCTTTAATTTGGTGTACCTAGTATCTCCGCCACCCTACGCTTATATACATGTCATTGACAATTTCTTGACCATTCAAATCCCCCGCTATTGTCTGCAAGCTTACCCTTCTATCTTGCCCCTTGCATTGCTCCCATCCTCTCTTTTTATTTTCTCCTCCACATCCCTACAGACCCCCTCTCCCTAAGACCTTGCCCCTTGATAATTGGTTTTCTTTTTTATTTTTATTTTATTTTTAGAATTAAGAAAAAATAGTATGGGTAGTTATGTTCCATCAAAGTAGGACCTATTATCTGATTTTTCTTTTTCGTTTTAATTTTTTTAGTTTTAAAAAATGTGAATTTACCATATTATCCTCATTTAATTAATAATTTTAATTCTTAATGTTTGAATTAACCAAGAGTATTGTCTTGTGCTTTATATATATATATATATATATATATATTTTTTTTTCATGACATTATTATGAGAGAGAAACAATGCTTTAATAATATTTTTCTTGACCCCCTTAATAATATTATGAGAGAAAAATGTTAGCAACATTCTCTCTCACCTAACAATGTCATTAATGAATGAGACGAATTTGCTATTATTTTTCAAGTTTATTCTTTCATTTTTCTTTATGTGGCATAAAATATTAATAAAATCTTTGAAATTCAATTTAAAAATAAGAAATTGAATTACAGTATTCAAAACTAAAAATAAAAAACCCTGAACCCCACTCATCTCGACTTCTTCTAGCCTCCACCAAACAACCCCAACCCAACCACAATTTCAGAACTGCCATTAAGGGCCCCTTCTTAGGGCTAGTTTTACGTTGTTGTGCTTTAAAAAAATAAAAAATTATTTCTGTTGTGTTGTGATAATAATTAGCTGTGAAAAAAAGCAGCTAGGCATTTGGTAAATTGTATTTCTAAAACTGTTGTGAGTAGTCAAAGTGTTTGTTAAATTTTTATCAGAAATGCTTTTAGTGTGTATAATGACCGAAAAGGACCTGATGATTAAACTGTTTGTTTTTTTCTTTTTCTACTTTAAAAACAAGAAACCGAACTTCACTACATAATTTTTTTTCTTTTTTTAATTTACACTTTTTTATCAAAAAATTTAATCAACAATTAGTACACATATTTTACCATAAATTGTAAATTACTATTGTAAGAGCAACTCCACCCATTTGCCCTTAACCATGGCAAGGGGGGAGCTAGGGTAGCCACTATTCACGTGAATAGTGGTTGCCCTTGCAAATAGTATTTTGTGTTTCCACCCGTTGCCATGACAAAGGGCAATTACTATTCATTTCTTTTTATTTTTTTCACAAATTTTTTTACCTCAATAATTAATTTGGATAATATTTTCGGATAAGATTTCTAGGTTCCTACGTGTCAAGACTATTCATAATAGGATAAAATTTCCGGATAAGATTTTTGGGTTCAAATTTCAGATGAATTTCAAAATTCAAATTTCAGATAAATTTTTGGGTTCAAATTTCGGATGAATTTCAAAATTCAAAATTCAGATAAATTTGGGTTCAAATTTCGGATGAATTTCAAATTTCAGATAAGATTTTCATCCAATCAAATCAAGCCATGTGGCATCTCTATCTTGCCAAAATTTTCTAGAAAATCATAGGCTCAGCTCATACCTCTCACACCACATCTTTCTATATTTTTATTTCTCTGAATTCCTACTCCATTCATTCTCAATGGAAGATTTTAGGAGATGCTTAGAGTGGCAAGAGCGAGAAACAAATGATAGAAACCGTAGAGTACATGAAATCAATGAGTTGCAGAGAGAAGTCGATGAACAAGTTGTCATAGTAGTGGCTTTGCAAGATGAAGAGAACCAAGGTCGCCGCCGTGGTTCACAAGTCGGCCGCCGCCAGAATGTGGATAGACATAGGCATTCTCGGGGTAAGAATCTTTTAGAAGATTATTTTATCCCAACTTCTTTGTACTATGATGTTGATTTTTGAAGGCGATTTAGAATGTAACCTCATTTGTTCAATAAATTCATGCATGATATTTACAATTATGATGCATACTTTGTTCAAAAGTTTGATGCTGCTGGGGTTTTGGGACTTCTTCCGGAGTAAAAGCTTACAGCTGTTATACGAATGTTGGCGTATGGAGCATCTTCTGATCAGGTGGATGAGATTGCCTGGATGGGGAAGTCCACTACGTTGGAGGCTTTGGTAAGATTTTGTGATGCAGTTGAAACTCTGTACACTAGGGATTACCTGCGTAGACATACTCCAAGGGACCTCCAACGGCTTATACAAAAAGCCGGAGCTCGAGGATTTCTAGGAATGATTGGTAGCATCGACTGCATGCACTGGCAATGGAAGAATTTCCCAACTGCCTTGCAAGGTGATTACGGAAATAGAAAAGACCAAAAAAGTATCATCCTTGAAGCCGTTGTTGGCTTCGACACATGGGTTCGGCATGCCTTCTTTGGAGTTTCCGGATCCCAAAATGACCTCAACGTGCTGGGTCAATTCCCGGTGTTCAACGATGTTTTGAGAGGCCAAGGCCCCAATATCACCTATCAAGTCAACAATACAGTCTACCAGACGGGGTATTATCTATTTGACGGCATCTACCCGAGGTGGACCACATGTGTCAAATCCATTCCGAATCCCCGATCCCAGAAGCAAAAATTATTTGCTACCTATCAAGAAGGATACAGGAAAGATGTCGAAAGGTGTTTTGGCATCCTTCAAGCTCGGTGGTTGATTATTCGAGGTGCGGCCCCATATGTTTGATGAGGAGATCCTCAGAAGCATTATGATGACTTGCATCATCCTCCATAATATGATTGTGGAAGATGAGTATGATTATGATGCTTTAGAGGTCTACGAACCAGATCCATTGAACTCAGCCTTGACACGGATTTATGAAAGGCCCATGGGGCCAAGTGGATAACCGTTTGAGCTGGAACCGTTGGTGAGAGATGGTCGTTTCATGACCCGGATGATAGATCGATATACAGAGATGCAATCTTCGTATATTCATGAAAGACGTCAAGTTGACTTAATGGAGCATCTATGGGCGGTGAAAGGCAATGAAGATGAATGATGGAGCATAGATGCTTTGGTTATGTTTTATTTAGTTATGGTTTGGTTGTGTTGTTTTTTATTTATTATGGTTTGGTTGTGGTTTGTTATTATTATTGTGCCTTGTTTGTAGTTTTTTATTTATTTTAATTATGTTTTGTTTGATGCTTTGTTATTATTAAATGCTTTGTTTATTAAATAAAGAAATCCAATACAAGTCATTAAGAATTACTACTACTAAAATAAAATACATGAATTACAACAACTTTAATACCAAACATGAAAAATACAAATACATAAAAGGTATGCCAACTAATTTAATGATTTTCATCGTTTAACCAATCCGTGTTGCTAGGCCCATCATCTTGGAAAAGTTTTCTTCTCATAACATCCCTTCATTCTAGCTTCGAAAATTGTTTTGTTTCAGGAGACATTTGGCTTGTATCCATCGCCATGGTTTCCCGATCCATCTTGTACATATCTTTTTTGCCCAAATACTCCCTTTCTCATGCGTACTCGGCTTGAATTGTCATCTCGTTATCTTGGCATTTCTGCTACATTTCAATTCTTATGGCATTCTGCCTTGCAATTTCCTCCAAAAATTTTGAATTATTATTCCTCGAATTACCCGCTTTCTTTGCCTTCGTAGCCTTTTGGCCAATGGGCCTCAGCTCCTTTTCGATGGGTGAGTCTTGACTCATAGGGGAATCGACAGGTGAATCCCATGTCATTGAATCACGGAGTGACGTCTCGTTTAACACAACGGCTGGACCCGTGGGAATAATTCTGAAGCGTTTGCAATATTTCACCACCTCCCAACATTCATGATGGTTGAAACTTTTTTTGCCCTGCCCAGTTGCACCAAACCGCATCTGTGCTTGAATCATCTATTTAAAAAAAAATGGAAATGCAAGAAACAAAAAAAAAGAGGAAATGCAATTAACCTTACAAATAAATTGCAAATGCAAGAAATATTAAGAAACAATTGGAAATGCAAGAAATATTAATAAAATATTGAAAATGACGAGGTGGGGAAGCTGGGGATTGGATTTTTTGTGGTTGGAGTGGGGAAGAAGAAGAATTGATATGCACAGAGAAAGGTAGAAGAACCCCACCCGACCCCGATATCGCCACACCTAACCCCTTCGTCCACGCTAGCCCTACACGATGAATCCCACCCAACCCAACCACCACCCTTGTTCATGTTTTCTTCTATGCATTTGTGGAGTGAGGAAGAAGAAGAGAGAAGAATAGAAGTTTTCTTAGATCCCAAATCTAGGGTTTTTCAATCAAATTCAAATTTTTTTGTAGCTCGTTTGTGTTTATGTTAAATCATAAGTGTGCGATGATGAGACTATTTGTGGACTAGAGTTTATGATTTGGGTTCTTTTCCCAAAAGTCTTATGTATTCAAAAAAAGGAAGAAGAAGAATTGATGTGCGTGAGAAGAAGGAAGAAGAAGAGAGTGCATAATGAGAGGGATAAGGGTTGTCATTTTGGAAAATTTATAAGGGCGTTATGGGAAAAACGAAAATTTCATTAGAATGACAGGTTGTTTTAAAAGAAAGTAGCATCTCAAAGTTGGGTCCAAGCAGCTTTGAGAAACTGATGTGGATGACCTTAGTTTTTAAAATAAGCTGGCTTTCTTTGGTTTACCAAATACTTTCACTTGCAAAACTTATTTTTAAAGCTGGTTATTTTTTAGGGTAAACTACAGTAAACCCCCCAACCTATAGGGTTATTTACGAGTTATTCACCCCGTTTCGTGAGTACTCCTGAGATGGAAGGGCAAAGTTTCCCACTGCCTTGAAAATCATTGATTGGTCAACAAGTCAGCTTTCTTTGGTGTATGAGCGTGCCACTGCTAGCAATGAAGATTCTAGCAGATTCATTCTAGACTAGATAACTTGCGCCCCAAGTTACTGATTTCTGTAAACAAACGATTGTGAATTTGGGTGAGGAATATCTCCCAAGTAAGTTCTTTTCTTGCTTCAGACTGGTGAGGAACTTTAACAATTTATCTCAGTATAAAGAGGTTGTTCTGGCCAAAATGGTTGATGGAATTTAAGCTGTCTTAGGCATAACTGCCTTTTACAAAACTATAAAAATAAATACCCACGCTAGAAAGATAAAAAGACAGCTGGAACTCCATTTCTGCATGGACAGGAGGATCTGACCCGGCTGGACTGGAAATATCTGGGCTGGACTGAACTGTCAACAACTTCAACTGCTAAGTTTCAGCTACAAATCGATACCAAAGTTCAAATTTGGCAGAGCTTTAATATACTTCAAGCTTTGGGAGGCTTTTGAGCTGGCAGAACTGCAGCTTCTTCAGTTTGAATGGGCAAAAGTGACTGTTCTTGAGGATTTAGTGAGCTAGAGACTGCACTGTGAGATTTGTTGAGGTTTTCATGTTTGGGAAAACTCAAACTCTGCTTGTTTTGGGTTTGCTGAACCAAATTTGTAACGAGAGAGATCTCGTTTTGAATAGTTAAGTCTGAACTTTGGGAAATCTGATCTAAAGCTGGTTTTTCTTGGAGTTCAAGTGAGCTTTTGGTTGATTTTTGAGTTGTTTGTTTGATTGATGAATTTAGTGTCCTTTTTTCTCTGCCATGTTCACTCCTTCTTATATTTACAAGAAATGCACAGGGGCAGGGTTTCTTTCTTTAAAATAATGGACGGCAAGTCTTCTCAAAGATCTGCAAAGAGATACAAGAGAGGGAAAGATTTAATTTCTTTATGTCAGATAGGCTTTTATCAATCAATCTTTGAGATCACTTCCCTATTATTTTTTAAAAAGCCTAATTCCTTTTCCCAATTTAACTGCCCCTTGTAAGATTTCAACCGTGATGGTTAGTTTGATTTCCCATATGAACAACTCTCTGTCCTCCTGCTTATCTCCTTTTTTTTAAATATGGCCTGCGTATCTCTTGCAAGGATGGTGCCTCCTTGGAGTGAAATCAATATTTTTGAATATATAAGAAGGATTTTGATCTTCTGGTGGCAGAAATTCAGAGAAATCCTTTTGCAACTGACCTGCTTTAATTAATTCTCAATCAACTCAGTTGAGTTTGTTGACTTTTCCATTTTGGTAGTCACGTGGGTTTTTTTTTTTTTTTTTCATGGGCCCATTCTGATTTGTCTGGAGCCCAAAGGTGACTGCTTTTCTTTTGGGGCCCAAGTTTGCTTGCCACATTTTGATGAGTCTTGGGCTGGGCCTCTCTGGACTTTGGGCTTTGCCTTCCGTTTTGCAAAAGCCCAAACTGCTTGAGTCCTGTAGCTTTTATTCTGGGCTTTCTCCGTGTTGGGTTGGGCGAGTTCAATTTAGGCCCAAACATGAGTGCATATCCGATTTTGGGAACATTTATGAGTACATACTCAACGTCGCGGAAAACCTACAATTTGTCCCCTTCGTTAGTCAAACTATTAGTTAGTCTGTTAAATGCTGACGTGTCAAAAGTGGGACCCTTTTTTTTCTTTTTTTTATGACGTGGACTTCCACGTGGATTAAAAATTAAAAATAATTTTTTTACTGTTTAAATTATTTTAAAAGATCTCTCTCTCTCTCTCTCTCTCTCTCTCTCTCTCAACCCTCTACCCAGCGAACCCAGCTACTCCAGCCACCAAAACAACCACCCAAACTACCACCTATCACCTCTCCTCCCCAACACAGCCCAACCCTCAAATCCCCAACTCCTGCAACTTTAGACTTCGAGAACTTGGTCACGTTTTGAAAAACAATTGGTATGGTTTCAGATTGATAGAAACCATAGATTCGCATCGCCTACTTGCTAAAAGCACAAATAGAATTGCAGATCTGTATTGCTTGAATGAAGACACCCGATCTCCCTGACTTTCCCAAATGCCCGCCACAGGCCCTGCTCATTTCCGAGTTGATTTTTTCAAACCAACAAAATTTATTAGACTAATAGATAGATCTAAAACACCAAACTTTACATAAATGAAAATAATAGGGCATACCATGGTATGGGGCCAAACCAGAGTTGAAATGCGGCTGAGCTTAATTGTTCATGTCCTCAAAGTTCAAGTTGAGGGCTTGAACTACCTTGGCTGGGAGCAGAACAGTTGGGAAACCTGTAATTTAAACACAACATGTTAAACAAAATAGTTCCAAATTGAAACAGAACGATCCTAATCACAAATAGTTGAGTTTCAGAATCTCAATTTCAAAATGCAAAGGGTTCCCATTAGTACATGCTTTCTTACGAGGCTCGGGAGCAGGGTTGGTGTATCTGCGAGGCAAGAACACGCATGTTATTGGGAGGATTATCGGATCAACGGCGGAGATTTCGTCCTGAAGCGGTCGCACTCTTTCGGATTTGAGCGAAGCTCGGCGTCGGCGGAGAGGATGATAGTGACGGCGTCATCGTGGCAATACCACAGAGGAAGCTTCTGGAGCAAGCGGCCGTCGCCTTTCGGGTTGTTGATGAAGGCTTGGGTATTCTCCTTTAAGTCAACGTACAAAGGCGGTGTGAATATGAAGTTGCATTTCTTCCGTCGGAAATTCTTCTTCCCGTTGACGGAGCCGAGCACGAGATTCTCCGACGGCAGCACAGGAGGATCGTCTCAGCGGAGCAAGTCGATGACGAGTCCAATGTTCATGAGATGTTTTGGGTCTGGGTTCTTAGAGAGAGAGAGAGAGAGAGTGTGTGTGTGTGTGTGTGTGTGTGTGTGTGTGTGTTTTATTTATTTATTAATATTTATAAATAATTTAAACAATAAAATATTTTTTTATTAATTTTTGGTCCACGTGGAAGTCCAAATCATCAAAAAAGGGGTCCCACTTTTGACACGTCAGCATTTAGCAGACTGACTATCAGTCTAGCTAACAAATGGGGCAAATTGTAGGTTTTTCGTGACATTGAGTATGTATTCATAAATGTCCCCAAAATCGGGTATACACTCGTAAATGATCCTATAGGTTGGGGGGTTTATTGTAGTTAACCCTATTTTTTAATCACCACAATCCCAAACGCATCCTTACTTTCTCATAAAAAGAACCGTAGTGTGAGCAGCAATACTTCAATTTCCTCCAAGGTTCTCTAGCTTTTTATGAGTTTTAGCTTTGAGATTCACTACCCAAGCTCTAGGTTGCTTTTTAAAGCTGCTTTCAAAAGAAGTAGAGATAAACATTTAATGAATTTTTTGAATTCCCAAAATACCATCATTCATTTTTAAAAATGATACCACCTCCACTTCCACATCCAACTCTACCCCTTACACCACCACATTCACTACCTCTACAACCACCACCACCGCCGCCACCACCTCATCCACCTCCACCTCAACCACCACCACCACCACCACAACTACCACCTCCTCCAAAACCTCCACATTCACCACCACCTCCATAACCAACACCACCACCACCACTACCACAACCACCAACTCCACCTTCATCACCACATGATTAGTACATAACACTTTTAACATCATGTCTATTTTAGTCGTTATTCACAGTTACAACAATTTTATATTAAAATTTACCAAACTGTTTTACATTGCTTTTTGTACTAACAACACTTTAAAATTATTGTTTACCAAACATAGGGCTGCTTTACTTTACAATTAATTATTTTCAAAGCACAACAGAAGCAACTTTTTTTGAAAGTGACAGCAATCCCAAGCTGGGCCTTAATGGGAGTGTGAAGAAGGCAATAAAGAAGAGCAACCATAGCCGATGTGGGCTTCCTCCATTTGTGTTGGGTTTGTGGATTGATGGGGGGTGGGGAGATGAAGGAGGATGAACTTTGTGTTTGTGTTGGTGGGTGGCGGTTGAAAGGAGTTGGGATGGGGATAAGGGTTTTTGAATTTTAGTTTTTGAATACTGTAATCTTATTTCTTACTAGCCTCTCCGCACGCGCTTCCGCGTTTGCGAGAGACATTTTTAAAATTTAAAATTTTTTTTAGAATTAAAAAAGATAATGGGTAGTTGTGTTCCATAAAAATAGGATCCATTATCTGATTTTTCTTTTAATTTTAATTTTTTAATGTTTGCATTAACCAAATGCATTTTATGGTATTTTGAATGTTTCACAATTCTCTGTCTTTTGCTATATATTTTATTAAAATTGAATTTTCAAATATTTTATTATAATTTTATGCCACATCAGAAAATAAAAGTAATTGGTCTCGATCATTAATGACATTGTTTTAATTATAAGGAAAATGACACGTGTTATTAACAAAAGGGAATGTTTTTTTTTTTTTTTTTTTTTTTTTTTTTTTTTTGGTCAAAAGGAGAATGTTATGCTCTCACTTTCTCCCTCATCACCAGAGATTTAACCGCTTCTAGATCGAAGATTTCCGACCTCCGAATTAAAAGCTTACGTGGTCGCCAGCCACCGTAGGGTCTCCGGTGAGGACGAAGGAAGTGAGAGAATGGAGGAGAGAGAGAGAGAGAGCGGGATGGACTGGGGAGCGACCGTGACGGCGCTGGCGATGGAGAATGGAGGGGGTGTTGGGTGGTGGAGGAGAAGTGGGATGGGTCCCGGGGAGTTATTATTTTTCACTTTTTGAACGGTAAAAGGTAAATTTTATGTATAGTCAATTTTTGGCTCCAAATACTGAAATAGGCCCAATCCAATTAATCATACAGCTCCCTTGTTATATGAATGCAGATTTTCTTGATAGATTTATAGGCGTTTGGCTAAATACAAACTCAAATCCGTAACGAGAGAACTGCAGAAACCTGGGAGCACTAAAATCCCGTTCCCCGTCCATCCTTCGCCCGCCGTGAGGGTCGGTTGTGAATCAGCAGGTTTGTGTTTCGTTGTTGCAATACTTTCTTTTAATTTATATTCATTTTTTTGTCCTTCTTATGTGATGGATTCTTAGATTCTCTACATATACTTTCTATTTCTTTCAACTTTTGAGCCGTGCATGTCCCTGAAAACTCTGCGTCAGCGTCGTCTACTTTTATTCTTAGAATTGGGAAAAGTAAAAAGGTGCAATGACAGTATGGCATTGATTAGGAAATTTCACTCCTTGGTCTATTGGTTGAAAGAGGGTCTTTAACTAATAAATTTACTTATGCGTACATAGATTTTGGTTTATGATCCTACTGGTGCTGTCGATGCTTCCACTCCAAGTTGCTTTATCAATCTTGTTTTGTATACATTTGACGGGTTGATGCATCACTATGGTAGCACCGTGCTCATTCGTCAAATTTTTTTAACTTTTTTAGTAATTCTCTTAGTCAGCTGGCCTAGTATGTTTACTCCTCATTTGGTTACAACTCTAGACTATTTTACAATTTGATACAAAATTTTCAGAATGGAGTAATCTTTCTAGTTTCTTACTACTTTGGGGTGATTTCACGGGTAGTCTTACAACTTTCTATTTTTCAGTTCCAGAAGTGCGCACGCCAACTTCAGATAGTTTTTTGAAAGGTTAGTAGAATTCAGTTACCATTGCTTCAATCTCCATCATCTTGCTGTTCTGTTTCACCTACTGGAATCCCATCTATAGTTTTAAGCTTTATTGAGGAAGTGGATGTGGGTTAATTTGATGAGAAATAAATGGTGAAAAAAATCTGTAGATTTGACACTTGCTTTAGAATTATGATGGAGGCTGTGTTGGGAAGCTGAACTGAGCTGGGTAAATCTAGCGAAATGCACGGCTCTTTTCTGGGAAAAGCAAAAGGCTTTTGGTGTGGGATTAAGGCAGCAGTTTTATGCAGTTGCAGTGTGTTGGTTGATTTGGTCGCAGAGAAACAAAAAGGACTTCTGAAAACCGTAGTGGGGAGGGGAGTGCAGAGTTTGGGGGACAAAGTCAGATTTCTGATGTGACTATTCACATCGGTTTCTTCTAACTTTTGGGATATACCATTTTCTTTTATTTTTCCAGATTTGAGAGCTGTTGCTTGTTAGGAGTCTAAGTGTTTTTATTCACTTTTTGCTATTTTTGGGACAGAGGACTGTTTTACTTTCGTTGATGTATTGAAGTGCACATCTTGCTCACTATCATTGTACTCTATTGTGACAGGAATAAAATATTTTCTCATAAAAAATAGGTCTTTAGATTCTTTTTCTCTATACACACATACACACACATACCACACTGCCTATATAATTGGTCTTCACTGGGTTTTATTGTGTTATAGGTTTTTTGACATTCTCTTTTTAACAATCTCCAAAATCAACAAATGCTGACACCATTCAAATAAGTGAAATAAAAGACGGTGATGTGAGTTATAAGCCTTGACAATCTGGGAGAAATCTACTGTGCTCTGCTCATTATCCTAAGCACTTGCTTCATTTTAATTTTTGTTCATTTCATTATGATGCTTTGATGTCCATATCTTGTGTGGTGGTTCTGACAGAGAATGGAAAGAACAGAGACTATAGATAATTTCAAAGTTGGATCTCTGCCGACTTTAATTTACATTCCTGACTTCATTACGGATAATGAACAAACCATGCTTCTAAATAAGGTAGAAATCCATATTTGTCTTACATATTCCATCCTTCTTTCCCAATGCTTTATTTTTTTATGAAATTTCTCAGTATGCTGGCTTCATTGCTTTATAGATATATGAAGCCCCTGTATCGAAGTGGAAATCTTTAAAGAATAGGAGGCTACAAAACTGGGGTATGTTTGTGTTTATCTGGGTTTATGTATATTGGTTTTCTATATGGTGTTTTTTATATTTCACTTGCATATAATACCTAGAAGATATGGAGGGAACTCCATCATATTGACTTTGATTAGTTTTTCCTGTCTTTGAGTGACAGGCGGTACTGTCCATGAAAAGGGTCTTCTACCACAGGATTGTAAGTGGGAAATAATTTATTTTATCACATGTGGAGAATATTTGCATTTCACAAATTGATGTGTCATTGGGCGTTTGGTGAGACCCCACTAGAAGCAATTTTTCTAGGGGTGGTTTTCCGGGTATGGCTTTGATGCACTTTTTGAGTGATACCAATGTAACATTCAAGGACTTACTGAGAAATAGCATGGCTTTGCGTTTAATGGCAAGGACCCATTGGGTGTTTGGTGCCAACGTATTTGCAGCCATCGCCACGGGCACTGCCTTGCTTCAGATTATTCCTAGCCATCACTTGTCATCATACGCTGCCTATGCTTCTGCATTCGGTATTTCAAGTCCTATTGGTGTGGCCATTGAAATCATAATAGATAGGAGAACCGAAGGTGCTGTGCCAGATTTGATATCCACTATTTCAGTGGGTCTAGCATGTGGAATGTCCATCTTTGTAGCAGTAAACCTTCTATTAGTGAAGCAGATAAATAGTGGAGAAAGAGAGAGGGCAAGAGGGTGACTGAGAGAAGAAAAAAGAGGAAGAAGAGAAAGAAGAGAGAGAAAATGACAATTTTAATGGAGACTTAGGCGCTACATTACTATACAGCGTATTCTGGGTATGACATTGTAAAGATATTTTTCGGTCGCAAAGTCCCACAGCCCAAATAGTCCATGTGGTATCTGTGCAATTCAACAACTCATGAAGTTATTGCCTCCACAGCCAAAAAAAATTATATTGCCTCTACAAGTCATAAGTCAGCATTAAATTTGTAGAACTTCCATAGGATGTGGAGACTCGTTTAGTGTTCACCTTGATTTGTGAAGATAATTTTAGTGGCAAATTTGTTGGCCTCTTCTTGTAGGAAGTGCGAAACTAATGATATAGAGGTCTTTAGAAATTTCAATGTGATTAAGCAATTGTTCATAGTATATTGCCAGTTCATCATTGTTTGTGAATTATTTGTCTGAAACAATAATCTCTCTCTCTCTCTCTCTCTTGCAGTGCCCTCATGGCTAACCAAGATTACATACAAGATATATGAAGAATCAGGGCTTTTTCCATTGCCAATTAATCATGTCCTTATCAATGAATACCTTCCTAACCAAGGCATTATGGTTCGCCCGAAACTCAAGGCTTTTATTGGTCATTGCTTACTTTTTACATGTGCATACTTTTGTCCTTGTTTTAGTTCAGTTTTCTCCGTGTCCTTGAAATAACTTAGTTCTTACAGTTACAAGTCCCTTAAATTTTATTTCAAAGTTTTGAAAATTAAAAAGAGAGGGATTACAACTTTTTCATGGATTTGAACCCATAAAATGAACAAGTAATACATTTCAAGTCCATTGCTGACAAGAAAACGTGTACCGGCCACTGCTTTGACAATCCACAGGTAAGTTTCTAGTCACTTCAAAATTGCGTATTAGTGGTAAAAAATGTGCAGATTTGAATTAAGGAAGGCTATGTATGTGGTTTTTGATTGGATCTTTGAAAGATGAGGCTCTGAACAAGACATCAAAGTGCCTTTGGGTTTCTCCGAATGTCTGGATTTATGGATTTGAACCATTAAAAATGTATTTTTTTGTCTCATAATCCATAGCATTTGTGCTGCAATGAGGCTGGTGTCTGGTTGGGATGGAGGAATGAGTGGATCAGGCAGAGAACTTTGTTTCCTAATCTCAAAATATACAACACATTGGAAAATCCTGTTCATGTCTGACTTTGGTTACAGAAATCTGAACCAAAAATATAATCAAGATATTTAACAATTTTATGGACTTAAAAGTGGAGCAAGATACAGGGACCAAAATATATTATTTTGAACTTTCTTTTACTTTTGATTTATTCTTATTGTGTGACTTGAACTTTGCCATGCATTTGCTTGGTGATGGCTTGTCTTTTGATTACTTATTGCTTTTCAGTTGTCCACTAACGGAGTTTTCCAATGAATTAATGTTTTTGGTGTTATGTTGGATTATTCCGTTGGAAATTTGAGCCTGCTATACTTTCCTACATTATTTAGCTGCAAGGTGGATGCGTGTGTTCTTATTACAACATTTCTTCTTTTCTTTTGGCCTGAGCCTCTTCTTGCAATAATTGTGTATCATACAGGCACACCAGGATGGGCCTGCGTATTATCCAGTTGTAGCAATCTTGTCCCTCAGGTCACCTGTTGTTATGGACTTTACTCCCCATTCAAGACTGACATTGTGTAGAAGCACATGCACAAATGATGTTGAGGATACAAATTCTGATAGGGGAGTTATTAAGATTGATACAGATAAGTCAATGGATGTACACCATCCTTTTCCTGTCATATTAATGCCGCGCAGCTTGATGATATTCAAAGATAAAGCATACTCGGGTTTGTATCTTTTTGTTAAAGTAACAGCTCGATCTCTAGCTATTACTTCTTTATTCTAACAGCAAATCTGGGCATGTCCTACTTGTGATTTTCAGATTACTTGCATGCTATCAAAGACAGTGAGGTACAATGTTATGATGGGGTAAGATTAAATTTCCCCCCCTCTTTTGGTAAGAAACAAAAATGTTGTTAAAATTGAGGAACAGTTCAAAGTAATGAAAGCACCAGCAGTCATACCTATGTAGAAGAGCAATGATAAAGAAAACAATACAACACATTGAGGAAAGAAGAAAGTCAGTCTAAAACACACTTCTCCAAACCCTAAGGTTCTTAGGACTTCCAGAAATTCCTGCAAAAACAGATGAAACTGAACCCCATAATGAATCAAAATACATCATTCTTATCCAATAGATCTTTAATTGTACTAAGTGTTTTTGAAAGGTTAGTTGTGCGTAATGAGCCAATAGAATTTGCCTATCAACTCGGTGCCAACATAAGTTACATAGATTGGCCATTTTCCAACTGTTTTTTGTTATCTTTTTTTGTTCAGGCTGTAAATGAAGTAGAAGCTCTACATGGGCAAGTTATGGATCATGCTTCGTCACAATTGGATGGAGCTGTTGATGTAATGAAAACTGGGGACCTCAAGAGTATTCATAGAACTACCCCTAGAATTTCATTGACATGTCGATTAGTTCCGAAAGTTCATAAAAATGTGTTCAGGTTTTAGTCTCTGGCAAGTCTCATCTATCTGGAAGCTTTTCACCTTTAAGAGCTTCAGACGATGACCTAGTTTGATGCGGGTGGTATTCACAGAGATGTGAGATGTATTATGGATGATTTAACAAACTTTGCCATACTACATAAAAATAGAGCGAATTCATTTCTTTCACCAATGATCAATTTATATTTTATATTGCTTTTATTTTTTGTCAAAAATATTTTATATTGCTTTTATTTTTTGTCAAAAATATTTTATATTGATTTGATTCTAGCTGTGAGGCATGAGCCCGTTTAACATTTTCTTTTTGGTCTGGACAAAAAAAAAAGTAGTAACTTTCAGACACGCCGGTTTGTAAATTTATATCTCCAGCTTAGTTTTTTTTTGGATTAACTACACTTTAGTCTCTAGAGGTTTAGTGTCAATATTGAAATGAGCCCCAATGTTTCATTTTAATCAATTTCATACCCAACATTTTAAAATATTATAAATTTACACCAGCCGTTACATTGACCGTCAAAGTCATACGTTAACTGCTGACGTGGTAGTTGTGGAACTCATCTCATAACCAAATAGTAGTAATAGAGAAAGAAAAGAAAAAAAAAAAAAAAAAAAAAAAAAAAAAAAAACAAAAAAAAAAATATTATTAAATTAGATTTTTTTTTTTTTTTTAAGAAAAATCCCTACTTTCTCTCTCTCGCTCTCTCTCTCTCTCCTATCTCCCTCCCTCTCTCTGCCCCAGAACTTGAAAACCCAACTCACATCTTCGACCCATCTGCGACCACCTCCCCACCCAACCGCCATTGAAGCCATACAAACCCCACCCACATATCCCCCCCTTCCCCCCCTCCCCGACTCACTATCTCATTCTCTCCCCTTCTCCTCCTGTTGTCCCAAAAGGATGACTGGCTGGATGATGCCTCTCCTGCAGAGCAGCGAGAGCTGTTGGAGACAGAATCCACTTCCACTTTGGTTGGGCACCATGGGTCTTCGAAAACAGAATCTACTTGCACTTCAGTAGTTGAAGCCCATGATTCAAGACCTGAGGATCAAACTCGCACGAAAGTTCCATCTACAGAACCTGCATCACAAACTCCTCCATCCATAATGGATTTGGGAAGCTCCGGCCATCTACCCAAAGTGATACACCACCAGCAAGCATCCAAAGCACCTCAGATTCTGACATGTCAGCTAACACAACAGCCACAGTAACGGTTGTAAAAAACCCTGCAAGCAATGTCCTGGATGGTTTGATTCGTCGTTGGGATTTTAACTTCTTTAGAAACAACCACAGTCGATAAGATGACTGTTCTTTCCTTCTATTTTTTGCTTCTCTCTTTAGATAATATGATGTATTGGCTTGTAACTAAAGTGTCAGGGTTCATGTTTTGTAAAATGCTCGACTGGAAAAGCAAAAAAACCAAAACAAAAACAAAAACAAAAAACAAAAAAACAAAAACAAAAAAGGAAAAGAATAAAACCAGTGCTGTGAAGTTGTATTTTTAGTTGTAACAAAAAAGAAAGATGGTTTTTCGGTTGCAGATTCTCTACGTTAAAGTGTTCACAACACAGATGAATATATTTTCTGTTGGTGTTATTGATGTCGGAAATGATCTTTCGGTATCATCCTATCACATTCCTATGTTTATCTGGTGGTCAAGGAGATGAATTAGATTCCAAATTTCTCTCTCCCTGGATTCTTTCTATCAGACATTCAGTTCAAATGCTCCTGGAAATGTCCAAATTTCTCTTACCCAATGTTTTTGTTCCGACTTACAGTTTTAATTTTCTAACTCAGGCATTGGAGGCACCGGCTCCATCTCCGGCGTCCTCGGCGGCGACGACGTCGTTTCCGAAGCCCCATTTCTCGATCCCCTCTGAAACCATTTATGACTCATCTTCATCATCATTTTCATGGTCCTCTTCCTCCTCATCCTCTTCAGCAATGGCCAACCCAACTCTCCGCCCCCCAATTTTTCGAGCCTCAGCGCTCATCGCCGGCAAGCTGGTGGCCCTCTTGATAGGACTCGAAGTGAAAGTGGGTAGAGGCGGCGGAGGCGGTGAAAGGTTGAGTTTTCGAGCTCTTGGGTCTGTTGAGTTTTCAAGCTCTTGGGTCTGTTGGAGGATTTCGAGCTCTTGGGTCTGTTGGGTTTTCGAGTTCTGGGCAGAGAGAGGGAGGGAGATAGGAGGAGAGAGAGAAAGTAGGGAATTTTTTGTTTTTAAAAATCTAATTTAATAATATTTTTAAAGAGTTTTTTATTTTTATTCCGAAATTGCCCTTCATTTCGTCTTTTTCTAACTACTGTTTGATTATGAGGTGGGTCCCACGACTACCACATCAACAGTTAGTCTGACTTTGACGGTCAATGTAACGGCTGGTGTAAATTGGTAATATTTCGAAATGTTGGGTACGAAATTGATTAAAATGAAATCTTAGGGCCCATTTCGATACTGACACTAAACCTCCAGGGACTAAAGTGTAGTTTTTTTTTTTTTTTTTTTTTTTTTTTTTTTTTTGGTCAATTTCACAGCTTAGTTTTATATATATATATATCAATATTTTATTTCATATAGTAATTTTCCAAAATAGCATATTTACCCCAGAAACTAAAAATGCTCCAAAATAGCATATATATATATATATATATATATATAGGCTTGGAATGATCCATTATCAAATTAATAAAAAGATATTTATTATTTGAAATTTGTTTAATCAGTCATTTGAAAGGAAAGGGTGCATAAAATTAACCAAAAAAAACAGGTGTATAAAAAGTTGGGTGTAGATATAGATAATATAATAGTAAGTTGAGTCTAAATAAAGACAATGATGTAAAAATTTTATTTTTGAGTATGAGCAATATTAGGGAGGAAAATTTCTCATACACGCAATACTTAGTGTCATGGAAGTTCAAACTTAAAATTACTACTTTGCAAGTCGAAATCATTTTTTATTGAGCTCCATTGGCAATGACGTCAAAACTTTGGCTGGGTTGGGTGTTCGAAGAAAAAAAAAGAACTTTGATTGGGTGTCTAGAAAAGAACACTGTCTTCGGTTTCGGTTATGCCTAATCTCATCCCATCGGGGCTCCGTGTAATTCAAACTCAATTTTTATTTTTTCTTGGGTCGGAAAGCTTATTCTCAATTACAACCGAAATCCCAATGCAGGCCGACCCAATTGTTGAGTGGTCTCAAATATAAAGCCCAAAACAAAACTGAATTATCTTAGAATTGAAGAAAATGAAAAAGTAGAAAAGAGGAAATTCATAGCATCTCCTCCAACAAAAAAAAAAGTCGCCGTAAACGCGGTTGGGAAAGATACGAAGGAACCGAGGAAGAAAGGAAGGAGAGACACTACGTTGCCTGATATTGCACTTATTCACGTAAGTCGTCTCGCCGGTGCCTTCACCATCTTTTCTGCTGATTACTCGCTCGATCTAACGCTTCCCCAATTGCCCTCTTGGCTTGCTTTAATTTTCAATTTTATCTGAAATCTTTTCGATTTCGTTCCAATTTTTCCAGAATACATTTGACTCCTTAGGTGTCTGAAGGAAATAGGTCGTGTATATTTCTAGTATTCGTCTACGTCTCGTACATGCTGTGGAGGGAGCACGGAATTGTATTTGTTTGATGACTTGTTCTGTATGGTGTCATTTGACTAATACCAGTACTTAGATTATTGGCGCCGTGTAAAGAAGAGGTGGGATGATCTATTATGGCGCAACAGTCCTCTCGTCTCCATCGCCTTCTCACTCTCTTGGACAGTATCCTTCCACCTTTTTCTTTTGCTTATCTTTTGGAATTATTGTTGAATGCATTGAGTTTATTTACCACTTGCATCAGCTAACCCCGCCCCCCACCCTCCTCCTTTTTGGTTCCTCTGTAATTTATTTATCCATTGTCTCAATTTCCAAATGATTGTTTGAATTGGGTTTTTCTTTAACCCAACCCTAATAGCTGGTTCGACCCAAGCAACAAGATTGACAGCTGCTCGGCAGATAGGGGATATTGCCAAGTCGCATCCTCAGGACTTGAGCTCTCTGTTAAAAAAGGTATTACTGATTTCCACAATTGTTTCCTTGCAATCACATTATGCTTATTCTGAGACACTATCATCCTGCATCTCCGTTGCCTTGAAAATGAAATCAATGTGCCTTTTTAGTCTGTTAATTTCAAATTCGTACGCATCTTATGAAGAATGTGAGGTTTATTTCGAAGTCAGCATTGTAATGACTTAAATATGTCTATTTGTTTGAAAACTGGTTTTTTTTTGGTTAGAGAGCAAACTAGAGCTTCACTCGTTCTGTTAAGCCTGGCAGAAAGTGGATAAGGTCTGATATATGTTAATGAGAAGATTCATAAATCCAGGAAAGAATACTGTAAATGTTGCTAAGAGCTACCATCCACTCAAATAAATTTTCAAGATAATCTGTTGTGTGTAATTTCAAATACTGCCAAATGTTTGGTTGTTTCTTTCACAAAAGAATTGCTATTCTTCTGATGATCACATCTGCCCTTCCAGCAGCAAACCGTAAAACCAACAAATTTATCGAGCATTACACACTGAATATTTAAGACCAAAGCTTTCTTGCAATTCGACAATTTAACACCAGTTTCTTTAATAACATTTTCCTTTCTTAGTATGGTAGTTTATGGTAATGGTCTCTCTCAAAGCCACTGGCCCCACAAAGAAAACTACTTTCAGTTAGCTCTCCAGATTCCAAGCAAACTTTTTATCACTGGACTTGAACAAGAGCCTTATAATAAGAAATGAACCGCAATAATATACATTTATTAAAAGACAATTTTTGTAACCCAAAACGATGCTGAAACTGCACATGACCTCCATAGCCAATGTCAAATATCAGAGGACCTTAAACCTGTCCAAACCATTTTGAATTCCTTCACAATAACACTTCACCTCTTCATGTATGGCTCTCACATGCTCTTAAGGGTTACAAAATGCATGAAACAATCAACGAACCGGGTTAATCAACTTTGAATTGAGAGGAATACTAATAAATTCTGAATGATTTTTGAATGCAAGCATGGAAGCAGGTGCAAGCCAATCAGCAAGTCAACAGTGTACATTATAAGAGATAATAGATATGATCATGCAGCACCCAAAAAGAGAGAAGTTTCAAAATCACAATTGAGAGTTAATGCCTAGTATTTCTTGGTTCCCTTAAGGAAATCCACAGACCTTGAATAAAGTCCCAGTGTAACTGTGTAGCTCATGGCTGGTGCTTTCAAATGGATGTTTAGGCTCACTGTGTTCAGGTTTATGAAGGTGCAACAGAGTAAAGCTTATAATTTGTAGTGGTAGGAATTTGGAATTAAATGTTCTGAGTATGAAGAGGGAGAAGAAAGGGAGTTAGAGAAATATGGACTCACTCCGACAACAGTTTCTTGGAATCACACCAAGAGCTCTCACGAATCACTTGAGGTTTTTTATATAAAAAAGATCAGGAATTTAAGGGCCCATTCAGTACCATTTTTCAAAAATGTTTTCATAAAATATTTTCAAAAAGTGAAAACAAAAAAATGAGTTTGTATTTTTAAAATGGGAGAATCTGTTCGGCAAACAACTCATTTTTCGTTCGCCACCCTCATTTTCTCACCTTATCTCCTTCTCTGGTTTCTCTTCTCTGGTTCCCTCTTGGATTCATTGAACCTCTTTCTCTTTCTCTCTGTCTCTCCTTCTCTAACTCTCTCTGGTTGCCTTTCGGATTCATCGACCTCCCTTTTGTTCCTTATTGGATTTGCTGATCTCCCTATGATTCCACCGGTCGATGGTCAGTGGTGGTTTGATGGGCAGATTGGTTTGGTTGGGTTTGACGGTGGTGGTTTGATTTGCTGTGGGTAGTGTGGATGGTGGCTTCGATTGGGTGGTGGTGCTTTGATTTGGTACAGGTGGTGTTGATGGTGGGGTTGATTGGGTTCAATTGGGTGGTGATGCAATTGGGTTGGTGGCTGGTGGCTGGTCTGTAGTGGTGGTTGTAGTTCGATTGGCTTGTAGTGGTAGTTGTAGTTTGATTGGCGTGTAGTGGTTGTTAGGTGGTGTTTGACGATGGTGGTTATGCTCTATCTTTTGAATCCATATTCTCTTGAAAACATTTTGATGTTTTCAGAATTATAACTAAAAGTTTGAATCCGTTTTTGGAAAGCATTTTCTGCATTTTCTCAACCTCACCACTGATTGCAAATCCCAAGTGTTTTCTAAGAATGAAAATTGAAATCGGCCTGGGAAAATGTCACCGAACATGCCCTAATCTTCCACATTATACAACTTAGAAATCCTAAAAGACCAAAAATGGAATGACCCATATTTATCAACCTCAAAATTCTAAGTCTGATCTCCATCAAATGCTAATTTCGTTTTTGATAAACACCCATGCTAATCGTAGCTTTATTTTAACCCTAATAACATTACCCCACAACATTGTTGACATAAGTTAACTAACAATTTGTTCGTGTGGCCCCATTTCTCCACACGTTGACTAACATTCCCCCAGAACTTATTTGGCGGCATAAGTTAACCTCAATCACATTATCCGTATGCCATGTCAAATCCCATTAACAAATTGTTTCTGTTTTTGTTTTTAATAGAACTCCAAGTTACTAAGTAAAACTGGAATATGAGGGTGAAGCCTGCTATCTACACATTTACCAATTAAACTTGTTTCTTAGGTTTTTTTTGTTGTTGGTTCTTCCGGGTTTAGGCTGGTTAATTGTACTACTTGGAGGTTTAGAAGTTCTTTTGTTTTGTTTTGTTTTTACTTTTGTTGTGGTCTTGGTGGGCTGCTGGCTCACTGTGGTTGTAATGGTTGTTCTTATTTCTTTTCGTTATAAAGTCACCTTGTTTTTATTTTTATAGAATAGAAGTTTTCTGCCTTTCTGTAAAAAGCATTCCCATAAATTCCGGGAAATTAGTAAGGCATCTCGTTTGATCACTTACCTCTGTACAGGTTTTTCTTCGTAATAAAATTTGTGTTTCTTCTCAAAAGAAAGAATATGTAAGAAGGCATTTCACATAAACTGTTGTATCTTTTTCTCCTTTTCAATTTGGCTTTTGCCGATAGATACTCTTGCCGCCACTAGAATTATGGTTTGTTTGTTTCTTGTGCTAAGGTTTATGTCAGTTTCTGTCTCTTAGCTATTCCTTTTTGTACTTGTTAATCTATCTTTTTTTGTGTGTAGAAAAGTATGTCTTTAACTTTAGTTCGTTCTGAGATTAGGTTTCCCAATATCTTCGTAGCAAAAACTGGGATACGAGGGTTGCTGCCGCTCATGCAGTTGGGGCTATTGCTGAGAATGTTAAGCATACCTCTTTGATTGAACTCTTTACCAGTATTGAATCAAAGATGTCTGATGCTGGGATATCTGGTGCTGTTGAAGATATGGTTGCTTTCCCGATTTTTGATTCTAACGTTGCTGGAACGTCATTTAGAAGGTGGGTATTATTGTAATTAATTTTAGATTTCCTATTGGGGTGGCTCTTGATTTGAGCTTTTGAATAGATGAGGCTTCTCGGAGGCATGGTTGTTTATCTAATTTAAAAATTTCAAAACTACTACAGCTTTGATCTCAACAAGGTTTTGGAGTTTGGTGCTCTGTTGGCATCTGGGGGACAGGTAATACAGTGTCTATTTTATTTTCGTTGACATAATTGCACTGACGTGAAGAAGGTGATTGTATATTTTTTGGGCTACCTCTTTGGTTTTTGATATTTAAGTTCGACTTTGTGATCTTGATTTTACTTTCTGTTAATATTTGTTGATATCCATGAAAGGAGAATATTGGGAACATCAATCTAGTAGGATCTGTTAATGAACAAGTCTAGTAATTGTTAACTATTTATTTATGTATTTGTGCTACATTAAGAAAAATAATGAAACTATTAAGATAGTAGTTTTTAAAATACAGAGGTGATTAGAAGAGAGGGGGCCAAGAAATATTAAAAAAATTACTACGGATTTAACAAGAGAAATAGTGCTCTCCAGTTTTTGTTTTTACATTCGTTTAATCTTTTGTATTGATTATTCACATTTAAATTTCTGAAAGGATCTATGCTGCTGTTGCCTTTTTTTTGTTTAAGTTTTGTTTTTAGGTGGTCTTTCACTTTGTGAAATGAAAAAGATAATGGTCTGCCCACTTAATTAACTGATACTAATAAGGCTGAACATTTTAATAATTGTGAATCCCATCACTTTCTTTTATTTATAAATAATATTTGTGTTTCTTATAAAAAAAATAAAAAAGAATGTGGATACCCCGTTTGGAATGGCAGATGTTAAGTTTCAGTATTATTTGAGCTATAGTTGTTTGTGCCAAAGGATTGCCTAATTTGGTTAATTGCTTTTGTGGCGCAGTAAATTATTCTTGTTTTGTCTGATAAAAGAAATATTCATGTTTTGAGTCTTAATTTTCTTCTTTATAATTGATGCATTCTTCTTTATAATTGATGCATTCATTTTTGGATTCAGGAGTATGATCTTGCAAATGATCATATGAAGAACCCAAGGGAAAAATTGGCTCGACAGAAACAAACACTACGACGTCGTCTAGGTTAGTAATCTTTTACTTTCATACTTCTATTATATCTGGTCCAAAAAAGAAAGAAAAAATGTGTCCCCCTTAGGTCAGTGCCTTTGTACCCTGTTCTGTAATTGGTGGCAGTCTCTAAGCATACATGCAACATGTGGTTGTTGGAGAGAGGGCAAAGATTATTATTGAAATTCAATCTACTGATACTAGTAATCTGATTGGTTGTCTGAAGCAGTTTATTCTGTAGCGATTGAATGTGAAAACCAAAATCTAGACACTGTCCAACTGAGAAATCTGTTCTTCAAAAGCCTTTAAATTTCCAATTTTGAGAATAAATTTGACTATCATTTGATTGGACACACTTGTCTGATCTGGTGTTTTGTATTCCTGATGCAACTTATATTTAGTGAAAAATTAGACGTGTTGTGCGGGAACAATTTGGATAGAGTTGAGATTTCTTGATAGTTGCTTCTCTTTGGTCCTCCCTGTCTAAAAATTTCAAGAACATTTCTTTAAGCGTAATTGTTCTTGATTTGGAGGGCAGGGGAAGGGAGTTTGAAATGAGTGCTTACTGGGTTATGGCATATGGATTGTTGTTTTAGGTGTCTGATGGACTGCTAGTCCATGTTTATAGTATTTCTTTTTGTTTATTTTGATAAATTGTGTGTTACTTATGGGATTGGATTTGGTTTTGGCCTTCCTTGTGGGCATCTACTTCATCAGAGTTTAGGGAGTTTACCCTTTATTTTATCTATTTGGATTGGAAAGCAGCAGTATCGTAGAGATATTTATTTCAAGTGTAATGTGGTAGAGAGGTGTCTTTGTTTAAGTTTCTGGTTGCACGTTTGGTGGATTTCTTGTTCACGATTGTACACGTGGTTTAAAAAAAAAAAAAAAAAAAATTGTTTGTTATAAAAAAAAGGGTGTGGTGTTTTACAAAGTAGAGAGGTGTTACAAAATTCAATGTTTTTAAATAAGGAGCACATTTTATTAATTGTTAAATTATACAAGTGGGTTGAACGAGATGTCCATCAATATTCACAAGATACACTAATTTGGAGATAAACAAGCATAGGGTCTTTTTGTCTTTTAAAGCATATTGAATTTGAAAGAGTACAAGACCGCGGACAAGATGTCCATCCAAAGATACATTGCTACCCTACTCTATCTCAATTGAAATCCCAAAAAAATACTAGACTGAAAAACAGCTAGCGTATGGCAGCCTTCCACTCTAATAGAATAGTAGAAAATGAAATATCCCTATTTACTCATACAGGTGCCTACAGTGAAGCCAAAAATCTGATATGTTAGATCACTATTTTACTAATCCATGCCATGCTGGAGCAAGGGTGGAAGAGCGTATTGAAATACCGAATTATGTAGTTAGTGTGTGTATTTTTTTATATATTCGGAATGTAGTTAGTGAGTACATTTTACTGTTGATTGCTGTCCTAAATTGCATTTCGATTGCCAGGTTTTAATAGAAATCTCACGGTGTCTTCTTTTACAGGTCTGGATATATGTGAGCAGTTCATGGATGTGAATGATATGATAAAAGATGAAGACCTTATTTTGCACAGCTCGCATGGGAATGGAATTAATCCAAGAGTTTATGCATCACATAATATCCATCAGTTGGTTGCGAATATGGTACCTAGTGTATTATCAAAAAGACCAAGTCCAAGGGAATTGAATCTTTTAAAACGAAAAGCAAAAATCAATTCAAAAGACCAGTCAAAGGGTTGGTCTGAGGATGGGGATATGGAGGTGTCATGTGCTCAAAATATAACACCGAAGGGCTCATGTCCTGACTCATTTGGGACTAATAAGGTACTAGATTGCCAATTGATCATTTTTGGTGCTAGCTGATTCAAATGTTGTATGTCAAATTCGTAAGCTATTGCATATGGAGGCATCTCACTTGGTAGTAATAAAATGTTTTGAAGCTTCTGATGTAATCTTTGTTATCGTATTGTTCTGCTCAGTGGTATTTATTTTGTAGGAGAGTATTAAAAAATGTTCCTGGGGGGAAGCTTTTAGTGTAGGGCAATTGAGGGACAAGCGGTTATTGTTGGATAAATTTTTCATGTGATTTTGATGATAAGGTTGCTCTTTCTGAAGCTCAGGCTTGTTCTTAAAATAGAAAGAAATATTTCAAATTTATGGTAGTTGGTATATGTTTAATTTCAATAAAAAAAATTGAAAGTTCTAATCCAGAGTTAATTATGAAAGTGGAATCCAGTCTTGACTGAAAGAACTTAATGTGAAAACAATCATAAATTACTTTTAAAATGAACATCAAGTAATAAAACATCAACTCTTAATGTGAAAACATATACCAACTCTTGATTAGAACTTAATTTTTGCGGTTTTAATTTTTTTATTTTCTCAAGTAATAAATTACATTAATGTGAAATACGTGAAAAGAAACCATTGTTTGTGGTTTTTTTTTTTTTTTTGGGGGGGGGGGGGGGGGGGGGGAGGGAGGGGTTAGATCATT